TCCTCAATGGAACTGCATCTACATGGAGGGAAGTGTGTAGTGGGGTGCCCCAGGGCTCTGTTCTAGGCCCAGTGCTCTTCAACATCTTCATCAACGATTTGGACGAGGGGATAGATGGGGAACTCATCAAATTTGCGGATGACACCAAGCTGGCAGGAATAGCCAACACTCCAGAAGACAGGCTTAAGATACAGGAGGACCTGGACAGACCTGAACACTGGGCGCTATCTAACAAAATGAAATTCAATGGTGAAAAAAGTAAGGTTCTGCATTTGGGCAAGGGGAACCAAATGTACAGGTATAGTATAGGGGGTGCCTTGCTCAATAGTAGTAACTGAGAGTCCTAGTGGACAATCACATAAATGATTGAGCCAGCAGTGTGCTGCAGCTGCCAAAAAAGCCAACTCAGTGCTGGGCTGCATTAACAGAGGGATAGAATCAAGATCACGTGAAGTATTAATACCACTTTATAATGCCTTGGTAAGGCCACACTTGAAATACTGCATCCAGTTTTGGTCACCACGATGTAAAAAAGATGCTGAGACTCTAAAAAGAGTACGGAGAAGAGCAACAAAGATGATTAGGGGACTGGAGGCTAAAACATATGAGGAACGGTTGCTGGAATTGGGTATGTCTAGTTTAATGAAGAGAAGGACGAGGGGGGACATGATAGCAGTGTTCCAATATCTCAGGGGCTGCCACAAAGAAGAGGGAGTCAAGCTATTCTCCAAAGCGCCTGAAAGCAAGACAAGAAGCAATGGATGGAAACTAATCAAGGAGAGAAGCAACCTAGAACTAAGGAGAAATGTCTTGACAGTTAGAACAATTAACCAATGGAACAACCTGCCTCCAGAAGTAGTGAATGCTCCAACACTGGAAGTTTTTAAGAAGAAACTCGACAGCCATCTGTCCGAAATGGTGTAGAGTTTCCTGCCTGAGCAGGGGGTTGGACTCGATGACCTCCAAGGTTCCTTCCATCATCATCATCATCATCATCATCATCATCATCCTTATTATTATTATTATTATTATTATTATTATTATTTCTGTGGTGTCATATACTAACATATCATTTTTTAGTGTTCTTTTAAATTGTAAGAGTAAAATTCAGATTTTTTAAACTACGTGTTCTTCCATTTTTATCCCTTTATTATAAACAAAATAATTGGCTCATTTTATCATACATTTTTTAACTCACCATTTCAATCTCAATAAAAGTTTATACTTTTTAGCAATTAAGTGTTCACTATTTGTACAAAACTCATTTTTAAATTCCATTTCATAACAATCTATCCTTGGTATTTTTAAATATATATTAAATCTTTCTCTTTATTGGGCATATGAAACTGTTGAAAATTAAATTCCTCAATGGTCTCTTGATTTCTTCTTAAGCTCCCCCATCTTCCTGTAATAGCAAGTCTTCATATGTTTACCATTTGTTTTTACCCATTGTTTAAAACCCTTCTCAAGCTGAGGCCAACAAAAGTATTTTTGGGCACAGCTGGATTTGTATCTATTCTGTATTTTTAGTATAGCATTCCTAATATATTTTTTATAATTTACATTGACTTTACCATACTGTAAGTAATCATACTACTCAAACCTCAGACCATCTAAATCTAAAAATCTCTTTATTTCTTAATAACAGTCAATCCTTTATCCAAACCATAAAGCAGGCATGAAAATATGATTTAAAATCAGATAACCTCACTTCTCCGTTTTTCCTTTGCATCTTGGAGAATCTTATATTTAACCCTTGGGATTTTTTGGCCCTGCCATATAAATCTGGATATGTCTTTTTCCCCTGTTTAAATGGTAGATCAGTTTTCAAAATGATATTGTCTGAAATAAAAACAACAACCTAAATCAGCGGTCCCCAACCTTTACAGTTTGGTGGCCCGTTGGGGGCGGGGGAGAGGGAAACCAGCTGGCACAAGTGTGGGCTGGCCTACACACTAGCCCACCAGTTTGTCTAGTTATGCATGCATGCATGCACCAACCAACAACTCGTGGCCTGGTTCCAAACAGACCACAGCCCGAGGGTTGGGAACCCCTGTCTTAGCACATTCACTT